GATCGTGAATTCTGTCAGCTGGTTCTTGATATAGAATCTCGAATTTAAAATTGCTACATCCTACTTAATTCTCCATAAAAAACACGTTGTAGATAAAGCTCCCTCTGACTTCGTGAACGCTACCTTGACTCTTTCAGAAACCCATTCGAAGTTTCTCTTCACCATCTGCATTGCTTCAGGGGTGACTTCTTTCAGATCTCTGTACACCTGGAGCAAAACAGAAAACAAACAAGCAAATTGCAACAAAGCTGTCCCTATCAGAAAAGGGCGAAAAGCTCGGCCCCCAGATAGGAGCCAGCACCTGCTTGTCCTTCTGCTGGCTGCGGTCCCCCGAGGGCCACAGCCTCCACGAGTCATTGTCGATGACATCAGCCAGCACGATCTCCTTGGTCGTCACGTTGACGCCGAACTCCACCTGCAGGCGGGCGGTGGGAAAGGAGAGGTCATAGGACTGCATACAAAGAGGAGGCGAGCTGTGAAATGGGTCTCTGCGTGCTCGGGGGTTCCCCACACCCCGGCAGATCACTTACCTTCATGTCGACCAGGGTGCAGCCCTGCGTGTCCCAGGCCCGCTCCAGGATCTCGAAGATGGCGACGGTCGTGCGGCTCATGATGTCGATCTCGCAGCGGCCGACGCCGAGGCCCGCGAAGCAGAACCGGGCCTCCTGCAGCTGCTCCTCGGACCACTGCGGGTCGTTGTTGGCGTCGTCCTGGGGGCACAGCGAGACGCGGCGTGAGCCCGCCGGCGGGGGCCTCTCTCGGCGGCGCAGGCCCGGCGGACGCGGGGCGCCTCACCTTGAAGAAGAGCTCCAGCTTGGGCGGGGCGAACCTGTAGCCCTCGCTGACCCCCGGGTTCCTCTTGAGGAAGGAGCCCGTGGCGACGCGCCGGCACACCCACTCGATGGGGACCATCTCGCAGCGGGCCGCCACGAAGGCCGTGTCCGAGTGCTGCCTCACGAAGGCCGTCCGGACCCCTGCACGGCCAGAGAGCGGGTCAGCGGACATCCGCGCCCACTCGGGGTGGGGGTGGGTGGGGGTCTGAACCCCCCTTTTTTGGCACGACCGAGGAACCCGCGTCTCTTCCGAGGTTCGGGGGGGATCCGAAGGTCGCGGCTCGAGCCGGAGCCCGGCCTGTGCGCTGGCCGCGCTCGGTCCGCGAGGTCAGAAGCTCACGAGCACCTGGACCCCCGCAGGGCGAGGGGGGGCCTGCCCTGGCACCCTGCTCCCGCGACGAGACTCGAAACACGAGAGCTCGGACTCCTCTGGGCGGGTGGACGATTTAAATGAGGCCCCCTAAACCCTGCTGAATCTGGACTGGGGGTTGTCCCCCTGCTGTGGGCACGGCCCCTGACTGAACCCCCCACTTTGCGAGCAGCTTGGCCATACACACGTCAAGGCAGCTGAGTTACACAGCAGCTCTAACAAGACTGGGAAGTCATTGAAACTCTTGCTTTTTGGAGTTGAGACTCCAACTGAACCAGCCACTTTTCAAAACTCCCGTGTAAAGAAATTATGCTTTGTCCAATAAAAGCCATCCTTCAGTAGCCCCGTGAAACATCCTTCAAGAGACCGATTCTCCCTCACACAACCCCTCCCCAAAGACTCGCGGAGAGCAGAAGCAGTAACACTCAACAGCCACACGCTTCTCCCAAGACCAAGTAAGAACATAATGATGGCCATTCAGCCCATCTAGCCTGTTTAACAGCGAGTAGCTAATTGATCCCAGGAATCTCCAGGTTATCGGCTTGAACAACATGGCTGGGCAGCTTGTTCCCCTCTCCCGCATCCCTTTGTGTAATGAAGGGTCTCCTGTCTTCAGTTTTCACCCACCACCACCCACAGTTTCTACTTGTGTCCGCTCTCTGGTTTTACGCGTGGACAGGCAAGAGTTTAAATTCGCTGTCCCTTGCGGGATCAACAGAGGGGTTAATGAGGACATAAAGACATTTATCTGAGAGCCTACAGCCTTTGCCCTGTGCGAGGTAAAAAAAAAACAGCAAACGAGTTCGTGTTTCGTCACAGAGGGCTCGTTGGTCCAGTTAGAGAGGACTTATGCTCTGCTAGTTGGATGGAAACACATTTCAGTAAAACAAGTCATGGTTTATTCCATGCTAAAAGGAAAAGGAGAGACGACAATGTTTGGCTGTGAAGAAGGCTTTAACACAGCCCAAACACGGTCTCTCTTTTCTTTTATCTTTCGGAATGGAATAAATGAACCCCAAGACCTGTTCCCCTGCAGTCTGACGCAGCTCCCCACTGTACCCGGACTGCTTTAGTACAACGCTGCGTGCGCAACTGACGCGTTTTAAACCGTACAAACCAAGACCCCCCTCCCGCCAGCCCTTCGGCGAACCGCGTTTCACGCAACGGGGCCGAGGACACGGCAGAGCAGAGCCCGTACCCGCCTCCTGGAGCAGCCGGAACACGCAGCAGGTCGTCCCGTTGGCCAGCGCCGCCTTGCCCTGCAGCTGGTCCTTCCTGGCGGCGTTGCCGGCGGTGATCTGGTCCTTGGACTGCACCAGCACATGGCCCGGCAGGTCGGGCAGCTCGTAGATCTGCTTCGTCTTGCCCTCGCTCAGCTTCTGGCCCAGCGGCGGCAGCTCTGCAGGCACACAACGCCCGCTCCTTTCCGTGAACTTGAAATCGCTTGTTCAGACAACAGCGGGGAAAACCGCATGCGAAGACCGCTGATAATAGCAGCTTCATTTCCCTATCTAGAGGAAAACTTGCTTCTAACCGTAACAAAACTGGCACGTTAAAGCCCTTATCTGAGCTGCCCGCTAGAGAGTACCCAGCCTCACAAAGGGTTTACTCGGCATGCTCTCGAAGCAACGTGAGAAAGTTAGAAAGCGTTTTGAAGAGGGGGAAATTACCTGTTTCAGACGCCATATCAGAGCGCAGCCTCTGTACCTGCAAAAAAAATCAAATCATATCACGCGTTAGCCCCGCTTGCGTTTGCAACCGCCTTACGGATCGAAAGCAGAGATTAAACGTCTGACGGTGGCGGGGGAACATACTTCAGACACGGCGAGGGACTCCGGGCACCGACAGGACAGAAAGACGCCAAGTTCTCCAAACGAGTCCGGGGCAACTTCGCACGCACGTCTATAACCGGGGCAGATACGCCCCCTACCTCACGTGTGCCGGGCCTTTTTTTTTTTCAATAAAAAAAAGTGCTGCAATTCCGCAGACACGCTTCCCGAACCCACGCACGAAGTTTCCTCGGCTGAAGCAAAGTTGCTCTTTCTTTTGTCTTTCGCGTCACATGCAAAGGGGGGGAGGGTGTACCATATTCCGTCCTCGGGGGGTATCTTGACTTTTAAGCTTTTTAAAAAAAAACAACCAAGGCCTATTATTTGCATTCCCGTGCAGAGCCGTCTCTGTGGGTTTCGTCACGGGAGGCAGGCCCTGCACTGTCCCGGCGAGAGAGAGGGGGGAGGTTTTTAAAGCGGCCGCCGGCGTGTGGCTGCGCGCAGATCTTCCCCTCCGTCCCCTCGCGAGTGGTCGAGCCGGACAGCAGCAGCAGCAGCACCACCACCAACACCACCACGTGCGCGGCCGCGGGGAAGTTCTGCGCGAGTGGGAGTGGGAGTGGGAGCCGAGCCGCCGCGATGGAGTTCGAGGAGCTGGGGATACGCGAGGAGTGCGGGGTGTTCGGCTGCGTGGCGGCGGGCGAGTGGCCCACGGAGCTGGAGGTGGCCCAGGTGATCACGCTGGGGCTGGTGGCGCTGCAGCACAGGTGAGCCCGGACCCCCGCGGGTCCACGTGGAGTGATGTGCGAGTACAGAGGTCCCCCGGGGTCCCCCGGGGACGCGCAGATAGGTGCACCTCTGGCGAGTGCGCAAACGGTGCCGTTTAGGCTAACAGCTGGGGCAGAAGTTGTTGTTGTTTTGTTTTTGTTTTTTATTTCTCGGCGACTCGCTGAACGGCAAGGGTGCAGGCGCCCTGCTACACGCCCGCTGTGCTCTTTAAAATCAAGACCGGGACTCCCGCAAAAAAAAAAAAGGGTGGGAGAGCGAGGTGGGTCGCAGGGTGTAACTCCGAGGGACTAGTCCCCGGTGGCGCGGGCGGTTCCTGTCCCGTTTTCCAGGGGGGAAACGTTCTCCGTTGCAGGAGTGTTTCCCCTCCTGCGTGTTCAAACCGGCGAGTTTCTGCCCGCGGTCCGGCGACAGAGCGGCGAACCGAGCCCAGCGGTGTACCTCGGCCGCAGTCGCAGACGCCAGATGTTGGGTGCACGTTACTAAGATGTCTTTAACGCCCATTGACATGGCTGGCTATAACCCTGGAATGCGCTGGCTTGTTTTTCCTTTATCGTTTAGCATGGAGATTAAGCGTCTTTCTGCGCTTCCCAATAACCGGAGTCAACCGGTGTCCCTGCACAGCTCTAGTCTTTCCAGACAGTTATGTCTGAGGTAGATAAGGTGCTGACGGGCTAAGACTCTGTGGGGTTTGGATTTAGCGTGGGGGGAGACTCGGTGTGCGTGAGAGAAGTGGAGCCCACGGCGCGCAGACCCGCCCACAGACCTTGGCCGGTGCGGAGCGGGGGGACGGTGCGATGGAGCAGACGGAGCCGATCTGAATGGTCGGGGTGCCGGTCTCGGCCCGCTCCTCCTTGCAGCGGGGCCGGGGGTCCGGCGGTGCGGTGTCCCGTCTGGACGGACATTTCCTGGGTGAGAGGGGAAGCTCTGGAAGATAAAATACAGTGGGCTCGCTGCAGCTGGGAATACCGGTTAGACGTGAGCTTCCAGTGCATGAGCGGTTTTTTTTTTTTAAATGTGCACGAAGTTAGGTTGTAACTTTACAACCAGCCCGCGTTGTATACCATCGTCCGCAGACGGGCTATCTCCCGGTGTGGTCAGAAACGTTTAATGGCCTAAGGGCCCGCTCTGCACTCGAATTGAGTGTTTCTCTTGCACCGTGAATCGACACCTGGGGGGTAACGCCATTGTTCTGGCGAAATACCCGAGCGATACAGGGTTTAGGTGTAGGAATGTCAGCGGTCAAGTCGCCGGAGGGGCCTGGGCGCACTGATCGCCCATTCAGCTCGACGGCCCGTCTCCCCGGAGACGCATCAGCAGCGCCAATGGCTCGCTGGGACGCAGCGTCCCGGGGCCCTCCCGGTGTGTGGGGGGCGCAGAGACCTGGGGACAGGGGGCCCCAGCAGGGACAAGGGCAGAGGTGTGAAGGGCTGGAATCCGAGAGCCAATGGAGGAGGTCCTGAAAGGAAATAATCACGGAGGAGGAGGAAGGTGGAATCCCGGGAGGGGGGGTTCAGAGGTCGGCGGGGTGAGAGGCTGCAGAAGCGGGCATCTTGCAAAACACCGACCGGCTCGGGTAACAAGCCAGCAAGGACCGCTGGTCCTTCATCGGGAAAAATATAGTTTTTCTCAAAAGTGCACTGTCGGATTTAATAGCTCATCCTTCTGGTTATAGATCCACCATTACTTCCCTTGAAGGCGTCTGAAACTCAACGGCATGTCTGTGGCCAGTAGACGGGTGTTACGCGGCGATATTCCTTGGATTCTTCACATGCTGACTTTTTTTCGACTTTTGCCTGTGATCATAAGATGCAGGCTCCGCTTTTGTGCTGGGGATTGTGAAAAGGGTCGCAACAGCAGTCAGGCCGATAGGTCACAGACATTCCTCTGTTAAATCGGAACGCAAGATGGTCGGTCTCACCTTCTTTGGCCTTTCTCTTGATTCCCTTGGTGGGCAAACTTTCGGCTTGAGCGCCGGGCTCTTCTTCATCTGTTGAAAATAATAAAATAGGAATTGAGGAGCCACTCCAAACCGGGAACAGTCACAATGCTTAAATACTCATATTTTGATTAAAAACGGCTTCGCTTAGGGTTTCTGCAGGAAGTGCACCAGGAAAAAGAGAATTCTATGCCGCAGTGCATAAATAACTACACTCCGACACGTGCAGGGCAGCAGTTCAGGAAACGTGTGCTTCCCTCATGGAAGACGTGGGTCCCCTCCTGTAGGCGAGGTGCTGTGGGATCCTGTGGGATTAAAGCAGACGCATAACCTCCTGCCTTTGGAAGTGCTGCACTTTGGCACGTCTGGGTGGCGGCTGCAGCGAGCCGGTGGGCTTTGCCTTGGGGGGCTGTGCAGAGGGCCTGTTCTCGGACCTGGCGTGTGTTCAGGAACTTTCCTGCTCTGGGCGGGCCGGCTGTGTGGTGGACTGTGTCCAGCCAAGAGGCGGTACCCACCTGGGCTGTTGTCCGCTCCGGAGCCGGGCCTCGAGGGGGCGCCCGCGACCTCCTCGCGCCCCGCCGCGCCCGGGCCGCCCGCGCGCCGCAGGATGGCGTCCACCTCGTCGTAGAAGCGCATGACCCTCCGGGGGTCCCCGCGCGGGCCGCGGCCCCTCTGCAGCGCCCGGTACACGTACTTCAGGTTCTTGTACTTCGTGCGGCACTGCTTCCAGTCCCGGTCGACGCCGGCCCGCAGCAGCCGACGGGAGATCTGCAGGAAGATGTCCTTGTTCCGGGTCGCGCCCTCCAGCTGCTGCCGGATGCCCTCGTCGGACCAGACCAGGATCAGCGCCCTGACCTCGTCGTCGCTCCAGTTCCTCCCGATGCCCGAGTCGTTGACCGTGATGACCCGGAACTGGTTCAGAGCCCGGTCGGGCGGCGGCCGGTCGTCTGGGGACGAACGAGAGCGTCACCTGACCGCGCCGCATTCGGGTTCTGCCTGTCGCCCTGACAACGCCTCTCGGGAAGCCGGTTGGCTATTCTGGGGGCTGTGTGTATCGAGTAGAGGCGGGAAGCAGGCCTACTGCCTGGCCTGCGGGGATTGAGGGATCTGACCCTTGAAACACTAGGGACGTTGTGGCCCGGGTTCAAGTCCAGGAGTGACCGAGAGGCCCGGGGACAGTTCAGGACAGGAGGCAGGTCTTCTCACAGAGGGTTTTGGGTGTCTGGGCTGCCTCATCTCGCTGTTGAAATGCAGTCTGTGGGGGCTCGTTTAAGAAAGGGGTTTGGAATTGTGGATCGCTTAGGTGGTATAAACCAGACATTCTCTGGTTTGGAATCTGTCCGATCTTGAAAAAGTGTTTTTTTGTGCTTTTTGTGGAGTTGCAGATAATTGTTGTGAAAAGACGCCTTTGTGTACCTTGAGTTACTTTTGTATCCATAGAAATCCAATGATTTTGGTGCTTGCTAATACTTATTGGCAGTAGTAAGGTGCTGTCTCTAAATGTCAGCCATGAATGCTGACTGCTGTTTTTTTTTAAACCAAGCTCTCAATAAGTACAGCAGCTCCTATTTATAATACAGCATGTGCTGTATGATCAAAGTTAAATCTTTTGCACTTCTAAGTATCAAAGTATTACATTTTTGGATGGCATATATATGCAGAGAATGTGAAACATTTAGCATTAATATATTGTCATGATACTCACTTCTAACATCATTTTCTTCTATAAACTTCGAAATAGTGTGGGTTAAAGTAGTGTTATTGAACGGTATTGTATAACATCTGAGGAATTGTGCTTGTGTATGTACGAAAATGCACAATGGTAACAGCAATTAGTTTATTTTGTATCGGCTTACCTGCATCTTTCATTAGCCTCTTCCATGTGCTCAGGATTGTGTGGTCTTCAGAAGTGCAACTAACTGCATCCTCATCTAACGGAGGAAAAAGAAACGTTTTATTTGCAAAATCACTTTTTGTGCCACAGAAAGCTGTTTAAGACCTGCGGAGTGCTTGGCTTCATTAGGATGATGAATGGAACCTTGTCCCTCTAGGATAAGAAGTTGCTGTCATTCGTCTCAGTTCTTAGAAATGTTATCTTCAGTTGCGGTTGCTTGGGTGATGTATCGGGGACCCCTGTCTGGGTCCCGGGGGGACCAGTGGGGCTACAGTCTGGGGTTTTCAGTCTGACTGGGATCCACACAACTTGCGTGAGCTCACAGCCGGCTTCATTCCCCACCTTATTCCCTTCTCCCAGCTCTCCGGCTGCTGACCTGGAGATCCTGCAGACACACCGGCCCCCCCCACACACAACGAACCAATTCATGATCAATTTCTTATTTTATTCATCTCTATAGAATTACGGTGCCGGAACTTATTTTCTGATCATTTAAAATAAACACTAAACCACTAGGTGGTGTAACAGCGCACTGATGTACTTCACAGATCAGAGAAGTACTAAGTTGTCGAAGGTATTATTTGAAATGACTGTACCGGCGTCCTGTGGCTCCTTTTTGATACATGGGATGACAGGCTCCTCGGAGTTGGTGCTGAAGGTGTCCGTTTCGTCCAGCCTTGGGCTGTCTTCCTCTGTGCCGCAGGAGAACAGAAGTGTTCCTTACACGTTTGGCAAAAGTTATGAAAAACATTGAACAAGGCCTGCCTTGCCTTTTAAATATCGGGGTGTTGGGTAACAGGTGGATCCCCCTTGCTGCCATGCAGGGGGCAGTACTGTGCAGCTGTGCCCCCCCCCCACACGCACACACACGCACATCTGGACACAGCTGCCCGTGGAGGATGCTCTGAAAGCCCGGGTGAGTGTTTAAGCGGGCGAGAGTGGCCAGGCGCTGGGAGAGGCCCCAGCCCGACGCAGTGCATGCTGGGGCAGCCAGGGGGCGCCCCTGCATCTAGCCAGCGTGGCGGGGAGGGCAGGAGGGAGGGCGTGCGATCTCTCCACAGCAGGTGGAAGCGGCGTCTTTACCTTCACTGAAGTCCATTCCCCGGTCCTGCGTCTGGCCCAGCTGCTCCAGCGGCCTGTTTTCCAGGATGGACTCCACCTCCTTGAAGAACTTCATGTTCTTCCACGCCCTGCCCGAGCCCTGGGAGCTCCTGGCGGTCTTGTACTCGTACTTGAGGTTCTTGTACTTGGTCCGGCACTGCTTCCAGTCGCGCTCGATCCCGAACCTCTGCAGCCGCCGGGCGATCTCCTGGAAGATGCTCCGGTTCCGCGCGGCCCCCTCCAGCTGGGCTTGGACCCTCCTGTCTGACCAGACGTACAGCAGGGCCCGGACCTCGTCGTCCGTCCAGTGCTTCCCTCCCTCGGTGGCCACGGGCGGGATGAAGGCCACCCCCCGGGGGGGGCGGCTGCCTGCGACAGAGGGGGGGGCAGGTTGGGCTGTGGCTGGAGAGGTGACGAGAGGGATTCTGTACGGTGACGTTGATCGACACCGACGTCATCCCAGACCTTGCCCGGTTTTACAGGCTCTTCCGTCTCTACGGAATTAAAAAAAAAACTTTTTATCCAAAGCGGCTAACGTTCCCATTCGCACAGCGTGTCCTTCTCCTGACATGTGGAGGCCCTTGCTGTGAGGTACCAACAGCCCCTGACCAGACCCCTGCATGGCATTTTAACCCTCGACCTTTTGGTTATGAGTCCGGCACCCTAATCTGTGCTCCTTGGCGCCTTTCTTGTAAGACACGGCTGATGTGCACCATGCGAGTCTGCACTCATACCGACCACACAGAACCATCTCCCAGATCACGCAGAACATCGGGTTATGAACGAGATTAGGCCCGTGTTAGAGGGGTTAGTTAGTGGCTCATCCATCCCTGCTGTTCTTGAAAGAAACTAGCGTTTCGGCTTCATCAGATTGGCTGCGTAGCCTGTTCCAGACCTTCACATCCCACAGGAAGTCTGTTTTTTTTAATTCTGTGGCAGAAACATGTTCTGCTCCACTACAGGGGGTTCTAATAAAGTAGTTCAAGCAGCGAGCTGCCTCAGCGTGCGTAGGCCGCGAAGTAACAGGTGAAGGTTTATTTCACGCTGAAAGGAAAAGAAGAGACTACGTTCTGGCCAGTTTTTGAGCCCCCTACTCATCAAATATTTTGTATTTGTTGTACCGGAGTTTGTGATTTGCGGCGTGTTCTTTTTATGTGTTTTAAGAGTTGAGTTCTATCGATTTCAGCGTTAAAACGAGGATTATATGGCATAGCGAGTGACGGGGGGAGAGAGATTAGTGTTAGGATCTTCCTATTTGTATTTTCCAGAATGTTTCGACCTATTGAAATATATTTTTTTACCTGAACCCAGAGATCAGATCTGCTCAGCGGAGACAAACGTCGCAAATGGCGGTCCTGTATGAGCCAGTGCCGCCCAGGCGAGTTCGGCTGGCGTGCGCCCCGTGCCGCTCGGTTACCTGGGCCAGGTGCGCCGCTGCTGGCCTTCACTGCCGGGCGTGGCAGCAGGTCATCTGAGGTCATGCTGAGGTCGTCCTCTTCCAGAGCCACGCAGATCTCCCCCACTTCTGGATTTTGTTTAGATTGTGAAAAAAAAAAACAACAAAATTAACCAAAAGGTGCATTTAGGTTCAGTAGCCTATCAGAGGTGACGTATAGTGTTGTTGCGTTCCTGCTTTCCTGGCTACAGAGGCACAGCTGAAGCCTCTTGTCTGTGGAGCTGGTGTGATTTTAGGCAGCACTAGGGTCTCATGGTTTCAAACATGGTAAATGTGTTCAGCGATAACAAGGCCTTTTCACCTGTATTTTGCTGGAAGAAAAATCCCTTTTTAAGGGAAGCGTATGCTGCCGGCGGAAGCCGAGCATTTCGACTCTGGCTTAGCGGAAGAAAGTGATAGTGTGGAAGTAAAGCCCTGCTGGTCCGGGATCAGGGAGTAATGCTATTACCCTGTGAGGTCATAATCTGGCCAGCACTTGCTGCTCTGGTGGTTGGAGGACCAGGCGAAGAGCCCTGCTAGGCAGGCCACACCCCTGTGGTTGAAATGAAGATAATAGATGCAGAGGTGGGTTTCAGATGTACACTGTCGGGCCCTGTGGAGTTCAAGATCACTTTCTTAGGGTGTCGATATCCTAGCTGAAATTCAGTGTTGTATTTGTTAGCAAGGGTTTAAGTCCCTCTACTCCTCTGGGTGACTTCATTTGAGCGCTGCCTGCGAGTTACCTTCATGAGCCACGTCCGAGCTGGACCGGGTTTCTTCCTCGCTGACCCTCGCGGAGTTAGCGCGCGCTCCGTCCTCCTCTTCCTCCTCCTCCTCCTCCTCGTCCGGGGCCTGGGATGCAGCCTCCCCAGCCAGGATGGCGTCCAGCTCCAGGAAGAACTTCATGGACTTCCCGAGGTCGCCCGATGAGTGGGCGTGCTTCACGGTTCGGTACTCATACTTCAGGTTCTTGTATTTGGCCCGGCACTGTTTCCAGTCCCGAAAGACGCCGAAGTCCTGCAGCCTGCTGGAGATGTATATGAACATGGCTTTATTCCTGGTTGCCCCGTGGAGATATCTCTGAATGTTCCTCTCCGACCACACGGTTAAGAGGGCTTTCACCTCCTCTTCAGTCCAGTGCTTCCCTGCTCCGCACTCCATGTTCAAAATGACCTGGAAACAGTTATCTCCCTCCCCTGTGCCACCTAGTTGCTGAGGCAACCAGACGGCTGGTTGTCAGTGAGCGCTCGCGCAGCTGAAAGGAGCTTCGTTACTGGCTTAAGCTGCGTAGGGGGAGGGGGAAACGTGTAATCGGAGAAGCAGCTTGGTGAGCAGGCTGCAGTGCAGGCTCTTTCCAAATAAGGCAACTCCGAAGCAAATGTTTTACAAGTGACGCTCCAAGCTCTTGCCAGTGCAGCTAGAGCGAACAATGAGCAGCTTTTCTTTTTACTTCCTTTGTGAAACTCCTTAAGACGGGGTGGCTGAAGGGCTCGGCAGCTCAGTGTTTTTTTAGAAGCCTGAAAAGGCACCCAAGCCTAAGGAACCTTCTTTACATCAGGAGTAGTTTAAGTCCGAGTTTGAGAGGGCCATTGCAGCTCTCGAGCTGTTTATTGTGCTCTGTCGGGAATCTGCTTGTGAGTGGAAGCAGGCTTGCAGTGTGTCTTTGCAAACACTTTGACATCTGGTAGTTCCGGGTTAACGAAGAGTATCCAAGATGCATGGAGGATATCAAGATGTCTTGCAGAAAATCATTACACATACTGACTAAAACAGGACATTTCTGCCTTTTAAAATAAATAGTGATTGGAGATGTCCGTGCAATAATTTAGAAATCTCTGAGTATGAAATTAACTGTCCTCATACTGTACTTCACACCTGTTTAGTGGTCTTTATCATTGTAATGAATTTATGCTGATTATGTATCAGTTATTATGTCATCGGGGAATCCACTAGTCCTGTGCCCAGAAATCAATGAAACATAAAGGTTACAGACGAGGCCATTTCACCCTGTTTGGTAGTGAATGAATGTGAACGTCTCGCCCAGCTGTTTCATGAATGGAGCCAGCGTGGCGGTAGTCTGTTCCACACTGCTGTGCCGCTGTGTGCGAGGAGGTTCCTGAACTCGTCCATCCAGAATTCCCTGCTTGGGCCTTTCAGAAGCTCTCATCTGCTGTAAGATGTCAGTGTCCGGTTCAGCAACCACTTCCTTGTCTCGTCTTTAGTAACGCTGGTAAATTAATACAGTGAACTCTCTGATTTACGGAATTCGGACTTAACGGAAAAAATCTGCTAAAGGGGAATTTAATACTGGACTTCAACTGGTCATAAATACTGGACTTTCCCTGCACTTGAATCGTAGTAAGAATTACATACTCTTGGAATTTTATGGTTAATGCACTGAATTTTGTTAAGCAGAAAAATATGTTCTGTTTTCAGCAGTCATTTATTATATCTAGGGTACTTGCGCATGCTCTTTCTTTTCTATATGTAGCTACACTTAACTCATTGCAAGGAGCAGTGGTCCTGCGTCTCTCATCAGCGCACGCTACGCGCTGCTCTACACAGGTGTGAAAGACCCTCTCGAGCTGTCGGCAGCACACCCTCCCGGTCTGTTTGCATGCAGCCAGGAGATCAGAGCAGCAGACGGTCCCCACTCCTTGCAGGCCGGAGTCACAGAAAAGTGACCTGACCTTGGCCGAGCGTTGTGATGGACACAGCTCTTGCCTGAAAGGTTTTTTTACACGGTATTGGCCCTGCTAAATCTGCAAAACAAGCGAAAGCTCAGCAGCTCATTAAAACAAGGGTGGGGTCCTTGTTCCAGAGGCTGGCGTGTCTGCAAGATTTCATTCCGTCTTCTCTCTGCCCTTGACCTGAATCGGCACGCTATCGGCTTCGTGCTACCAGCTTCTCCCCGCTCTCCGAGAAAACGCATCCCCCTCCACATCCCCACAACCGCCGACCCTGCGGTCGAACAGGAGACTCCAGCGTTTTACCATCATCTCATCTTCTTGGTCATTGTCCCGTCTGTTTTCGCTATGAGTAAGTCTTTGAATTATGTCTGTGTCTGTGAACTGTTCTTCAGGGGACAAGAGAGCGCTGGAATCGTGACGAGCAATGGAGCCTCCCCACCAGTGTACTACTCACACAAGGTACGTCGAGCTGCAGACTCGCCTTTTAAGACCACGGTTAGGACTCCGTGTGAAAATCGCTGGCATGATGAATTAGTCAATGCAAAGAAAGCACAGTGTAAGTGTGTGTTTTCAGAAGATGAATTGTGTGCAAATGTTGTTATTTTTGCAGAATAAGGCATTTTGGTGTGCTTTCTGGGACCGTCAAGTATGATTTCTGAGCTGAAAGAGATCGTTCTTCTGCCCCCGAGTGAGGGGGCTGTCGTGCGAGCTGCCGGTGGTCCGGCAAGGTGGTTTCAGCATCTGTCCTTGTGCCTTGTTTCTCAGGGGATGGGTCTGGTGAGCAACGCCTTCCCGCCCGAGGCCCTGCAGAAGCTCGAGTACGGAAACCTGGGCATCGGACACACGCGGTACTCGACGACGGGCATTTCGGAGCTGCAGAACTGCCAGCCCTTCGTCGTGGAGACGCTGCACGGGAAGATCGCCGTGGCCCACAATGGGGAGCTGGTGAACGCCCAGAAGCTGCGCAAGCAGGTGAGGTGCAGGCCGCTGGTCCCCGCCTCCGGGTTCGAGCGGGATAGCCGGTGGCCTGGATGGGCTGGGGGCGTGGAGCTGCCCGCCGTCCTCTCAAACACGACCCCCCCGGCTCCTGAGCCTCCTCTGCTTTGACAGCTGGAACAGGCTGCTATTTGCTGCTCAGCAGGGCTGTCCGTTCCGGTTGACGTGAGGACCGTGTCCAGGCCTCGGGGGTAGTTCTGTCCTTCTGCGCGGGCAGACCTTGCCCGGGCGCCGCCTGACCGCCGCTTTCTCCGCAGGTGATGCGCCACGGCGTGGGTCTGTCCACCAGCTCCGACAGCGAGCTGATCATGCAGCTGCTGGCCCTCACTCCGCCCATGGAGGAGCTGGACACCCCGGACTGGGTGGCTCGGTACGTCCCCGTCCCCGCTGCGCCCCAGCCTCTTGAACTGCCTGTGCCTTGTGCCCGTGTGGAGTGTATGTCGCGATCACAGAACCAGCACAGCTGTTTTCCAGTGGCCAGTCCTGGAGCGCCCCAGAATCCAGCGTGTTATAGAAACGCTTCTAAAATTGACTTCTAGACGCACAGAACCGTCAAAAGCAGGGAATGTGTTCAGTTTAAACACTGGAAATGCAAATACCAAACCCCTGTATCTCCTGGTGGCCTGGAAGGGGGGTGGAAAAGGAGACGGCTTTTGTTTTTGTTGATGCACATTTAGCTTGGGTTGTGTACTGGAGTTATGGCTTCTGTATTTCAGGATAAAGAATCTGATGACTGAAACGCCGACTTCCTACTCCTTACTCGTGATGCACCAAGACGTTATTTACGCAGTCCGTGACCCATATGGGAATCGACCTCTCTGTCTGGGCCGCCTTGTTCCCAGCTCCAGATTGCAGGGCGCAGGTATCGGCTTTTTTGTTTGTGCTTCAGGAAAGGTCAAGGACTTGTAGTTGACGGAAAGTTCTAGCTTTATCTGTTGTCCTCAAAAAATACAGTGAAGAATGCAGATAACAGCTGGTTGAGCAAAAGCCCAAATATTTCATGTCGAGGCATAGTCCGGCTGGCTTATCTCGTGTGTAAAAAACAAAAATCAATTAGAAAGAACTGAGAGGTTAGCTTTGTGTAACTTTGCATCGTGTTTTAACATATTTGGAAAAGCACAGATAACAGAGGAAGGAAGATACCCGGAATACTGATTTTCTGCCTTTCGAATTGATTCCTCCCCAGTTTTGAACTGGTAGATTAAAAACGATAGGAACTTGGCAGTGAGAGAAATGAGTAACTGTGGTCCAAGAGGGTAACTTAGCTCTGCATGTGATGACGGGTGTTGCTTAAATGTTCGATCTGTAAGGATCATTTTATGTTTGAAAAATATTTTGATGTATTCACGCTTCATTTTTAAGACATATTGAGAAACATATTTTTATTCTTCATCGGAATGGACAACGTGTGCAGACTCGTAGGTATTTTTGATTAACGAATCATTAGTAACGTTTTCTCAACTGTTAACGTTAATGTTGCCATTTCAAAATCACCCAAGTGGACTTCTCCTCTACGGACAGGGGGCGAGACAGGGAGTGCGGAAACCGAGGGCTGGGTTGTCTCCTCTGAATCCTGCGGTTTCCAGTCAATCGGAGCCCGGTAGGTTCTCCCAGCAGGTTACCGCTGCTGAAAAGGATACGTTTCTGTAGTACACAAGCGCAAACTGTGACCTCTGGGTGCCGTGGATCACAGATTTCTTTATCCTCTGCATCCAGGAAAGATGCTTACTAGGTGTGAGGAGGAGGTCTGTCTTGCCCCTCCTGGTTCGGTAGGTCTGTGCTGTGCAGACGGTTCCTCATGTTCTCTGCTTGGTTCCTCTCTCAGGTATTATCGTGAGGTCCTGCCAGGAGAGATTGTGCAGATCTCGAAGCATGGGGTGAAGACGCTGAGTGTTGTGCCCAGACCAGAGGGAGATCCTCCTGCCTTCTGCATATTTGAATATGTTTATTTTGCGAGACCAGACTCGATATTTGAAGGCAAGTGACCATAGCTGTTCTTTAGCTTTCCTCCTCTTCCTCTGGAAATGTCTGGGAGATTATTTACTTGCAAACAAAACATTTGTTTTCTGTAGACATCCAGGAAAAATATATTATCACTTGAAATATTTAGGAAAGGCATTGCGGGAGAAAGCTCTATTGTTCGGTTCCAATGGTTATCAGCAGGTATAATCATTCATGTTTACTCGATCGTGTAAAATATACAAATTGGGAAACATCTTTACGAGCAACCGAATGCTGACGAGTAGAAATGAAGAAGATTGGTTTGGTCAGGACTTTCTCAAGGTCTTGTCTGAAGGACGGGACCTCCTGCAGACGTGTCCCCCGTCACCATACGATGGCATTAAAGTGCCCATCCTGTGTGTTGCAGGGCAGATGGTGTACTCTGTCCGGCAGCGGTGCGGGCGCCAGCTCGCCATCGAGGCCCCGGCGGACGCAGACGTGGTCAGCACGGTCCCCGAGTCCGCGACCCCGGCCGCGCTGGGGTTCGCCCAGCAGGTACGCCCCCGGCCTCGGCGCCTCCCGCACCGCGGACAAGAGCGCACGCTCCTGGGCGGAACCGGACCGTGAACCCCTCTCTGTCTCCCGCAGGCCGGGCTTCCCTACGTCGAGGTGCTGTGCAAGAACCGCTACGTGGGCCGCACCTTCATCCAGCCCAACACGCGGCTGCGGCAGCTGGGGGTGGCCAAGAAGTTCGGGGCGCTGACGGACAACTTCGCGGGGAAGAGGGTGGTGCTCGTGGACGACTCCATCGTGCGGGGCAACACCATCTCTCCCATCATCCGGCTGCTCAGAGAAGCCGGGGCCAAAGAGGTCAGCAGCCCGGCTCGGAATACTGCGTTTGCAGGCGGTTTAACGGCAGAGCAGGACTTCTGAAAGGGATCATTCGAGTCGTTTGCCTGTAGAAAACAGCAGGGTGTTGTAAGCAGCATCGTTTGAGACTGTTCTGTACATTTGAGGGAATCATTAGTGTGCTCTGGATTATCACAATGCCTGGGTGGGTTTCTTATTCTGCTTTTTGCCTGTTGCATGCTTCAGCTGTGTGTCTTCCTCTCTTTCCTAGCGTTGCAGAACAGCCACAACTCGTTAGTGCCCATTACCATCTATTTAGAGCTCAGTGCGCTGGAGAGATGGCAGTCTGAATGGCTTGTTTCACTGGCTTTGTCTCTGGCAGGTTCACATCCGCGTGGCTTCACCTCCCATAAGATTCCCGTGCTACATGGGGATCAACATTCCAACCAAGGAGGAGCTGATTGCCAACAGACCGGAGTTTGAGAACATTGCTCGATACATCGGTAAGTGTGATCGTTTCCAAAGCGATGTGAAAACTCAGTTTAACATTAAAACTTTGTATAAAAAATTGTTGCTTACAATGCTGGTCTCTTGACTAATACCAGTAAAGAACAGAAAGCGTTCTAGGCGAGCGCGCAGACTTTCTAACCAGACTTTGCGGGTGTTTGCCGTGCGCAGGAGCGACCAGCGTGGTGTACCTCTCGGTCGAGGGGCTGGTGGCGGCCGTGCAAGGCGGCGTGGCGTCCCGCGAGGAGAAGGACGCGGTGATCGGCGGCAAGGCCAGCCGGAAAGGGGGCCACTGTACGGCCTGCCTCACCGGGAAGTACCCTGTGGAGCTGGAGTGGTGAGGGGAGGGTTCACCCGCTGCTCAGAGGCTCCTTCTGCCACTTCTGATGCAGCTCGGAGCATCGGAGCCGCGAGCGTTGCTCTGTGTCTGTTTTACCGCACACGGCTGTCTTTATCAAGGACTCCGGTTTTCAGAGGAGAGCGGGCAAGACTTCCCGTGAGAAAGACTTCCAGAATGTCCCTCTTGAAGACTAACCGGAGGAGCGGCTGCTTCACCTGGACTTTCTTTTTGGCCCGTTGTGCTTTTATTCGGAATGTCGGCAGGAAATCCTGCCCGTCGTATTCCTGGATTACTCCTGGATTCCTCTACCTGTACGTGCCGTCCGTTGCGTAGAACAGAACCGCCACGCCTACAAAACTGTTAACGAAACGCTTGGAAACAAAAAGGACAGCGGCCATGTAAACGGCCCAGTTTGTTAGGATCCGAATCCTACCTACAGAACCCTATCGCAGCACCAGAGGTCCAGTTTAATCCACGCATCCAAAGCTTAGTGCTGTTAAGGGGCACGAGGCAGGACTGTGCCCTGAGCGGATCACTTGTCCACTGCAGGGCGCTGCCCTGACCCCGCCAGCATGTCCACAGGAGGGAGGAGCAAACTCGGGCACCTGGAAAGAGAGAACATGCATACTCCACAGAGTAACTAACAAACTCCTCTGGGGCTAATTTTCAAGCATTAGAAGTCTCATGTTCTTCTCCATGCTTGAGGAAATCATTTTTTGCACTTACGATACCACCCTTGTCACGATATACATGCGATACCAGGCCAATTGACCCTACAGTAAAGTGCATTGATTGCTCAGTGTCTTTTAATATGGCGAAGCAGATCTGCAGGAAGGGAATAGCTTGTACTTCGGTTTCAAAACGCTACAGGAAGAGTCTGTCCCAATCATTGGGGTTCGGGATGAAAAATGCCACGGCCAGCTCTGTGTCAAAGAGGTTAAGGTGTTGATAGTAACTGCTGGATAGTTAGTGCTAAAATGAGAGAATGTTTTTAGACTTTGATTTAAAGCAGTGTTGCCGAGTAATGTACAATTTATACTAGGCCCCAGTTGTTTATGTTCTTTGTTTAAAGATGAAGTGTTACATTTCCTATAAATGTAGCTTACAGGCAATCTTTGTTTCGTAGGCAGCAGCTGTTGCCAAACTTTTTAAATATTTTTTGCAAATGTCAAAAATGTGTAAACGTGTTAAAGTTTCTGTGATTAAGGCACATCCATTTGTTGTGAATGAATGCTTCAGTGTATCTGTATAACTATGAAATTGCAAGGGGTAAGAAGTTCAATTTACCGTTACTGTCTTTTTGCCTTGGATGCAAAATTCAGAATATGCTACACTTCTGCTTCATAACAAGTGGGAAGTTTCCAGAATAGAGGCCTTTTAGATGCTTAATGGACGACGGTCCTCAGTCACAGAAACTTGATCAAATCTTTCGTCGGTTGCCAAATGGGATGTGAACCCTAAGAAATATTGCAATATAATTTGCAAACGTTGTTTTTAAGACAAAATCCCTAACAATCCGTTTGTACCCTTAGATGAATATTAAAAGCTCAAGAACGTGAATTTGAATAAAGATCTTTTAAAAATCCTGAATCCTCTTGTTAGTTTTTTTTTTTATTCTTGGGACTAATTGATCGGCAGCACACACTTAAAAAAATCGTAGTTACCACGTCTTATTCGTAACGTATTGCTTACTCTATAGTACCACCTAGTGCATTTATGAAGGAATCATTGCATAAAAACGGGGTTAAAATAAAAGTTTCAGGTCCACCTTGTAGTTGTGTAACGCTAGCCACTCTTATAGAAAACACGCCGCTTCTGCCGGTAGTAACTGTAACGCTACCACACAATAACCCTAAGGCTCAGAATCGATAGAGGGCTCAGCCATGCGACCGAGGACACGTAACTAGATCACTTCCTTTTCCGGTCACACCCTCCAATGAGAGCTAAGCTCTGTGGGCTCGAGGGGGCGTTTCCTTTCATGCTATTGGGCGACCGATGACTCGCTTCCGTGGTTTGGAAGTCTCAAAATGGCAGCTGCTGTTGTTAGGGAAGTTGTCACTTGATTGACAACGTGATTGCGGACGGAGTGTGTTTCCCCAAAAGCGCAGCGGCAGTTCCGCATGCACCTGCAAACAGGTTTCTCTGCGCCCCGTGAAATGTGCGCCGTCAGATGAACGGAGCCACGCTGCATGAGCTGGTGCGGGCGGCGGGGTGCGCTCATGGGCACAGAGTCGCCGTGCGCTTCGAGGACGGCACCGGGGCAGCCTGCGTTTCGCGCACTTACGCCGAGCTCCTGGCTTCGGCCGACGAGCTGAGCACCCTGTTGAAGAGGTGCCGCCACTTGCGAAACGAAAGGGTTTTTGGTTTGTACTACCAGCCAGGGGTACATCTTGCCAGCTGGATTCTGGGGTAAGTCGACTTACTGCTGTTTGACATCGCCGCTGTTCTCGTTAATGGTTGAAAAATAAACAAATCCGCACGATTCATTCTCTCGTTATTTTATATCTTAGGTGTGTTAGGTGATCATTAGCGTATTCAGGTTGTTTTCAAGGCAGGGTACACCTAGATCGTAGTAAATTAGTTGTTGTTTTGTGCCCAGGGTATAATCCGCTTTTGTACCGTGCGACATCACTGACAATTTCTGTGGTTCCTAAAACATGTGAAGGAGGAGTATGCCACTATTCTGTTACGGGGCTCACAGCTCGTGTAGAAAATGCTGCGAGTTCAGTGTTTGATTAATATCCTCTTTCTGGCGTCCTGTCCAACAGAATTCTTCAGGTTCCTGCTGCCTACCTGCCGGTCGATCCAGAGGCCCCCTCGCAGCTGTCGGCCGGCGTTTTGCGCCAGAGCGGGCTAGAGTACATCCTCGTCCAGAGTGACCTGATTCAGGTGAGGCGTTCAAACCTCACGTTTATGTTCAGGTGGAAGTTAAGCTCTGCCAGCATCCAGCGTTAACAAACACTTTCATTGCGTTATGGAGCAGTATTAACCTCAGTCAGGCTACAATAACAACAGGCTAAGACATCACCCAGCTATTTCTTGAAAGAAGCCAGGGTGTTATTCCATACTCCTACAACCCTCTGTGGGGAAAAAAAAAAAAACACAACTGATCTCTTCTAATCAGTTTTAAATGTCAGCTAACTTCACAAATCACTCAGTACATGAGAAATGGCATGTGAACTGCCACCTCCTGAAACCTGTCAGGAAATACTGCTCTGACAGAAACTCATAAACTCAAGGGCAGCCACTGTGTGTTGTCCTGCTGGTTGGCCTGTAGGTGGTGATCTTGTCTTTTAACTGAAAAATGGGTACATTATGTTTATAGTAGATGGTAAGCCTTTCCGTTATGTGTTGTGTGTCTTGTTGGTGTTTAAGAAGGTGTGTCAGGCAGTAGAAAGAGCAAAGAATCCCTTGCCTGTATGTCATGGATTAATTCCTTACTGGAGTCTCGGTTTGCAGGAGTCAGAGGCTTTGTTAGTGGGGATGTGTGATAGTAGTTCAGGTGGGCAGCTGCGTCGGCTGCAAAGGAACAAGTAATAGGCTTATTCCACGCTGAAGAGAGAAGAGAGAAGAAAGAAAATGCAATGTTTCCGCTGTGGAGCCTTCGCTCACACCCGAAGAAGGCTCCACGGCCGAAACGTTGTTTTCTTTCTTTTCGTTTTGGAATGCGTTCTAGCCTGCCATGAAAGAGCCAAGGGTCGACAGAGATGGAGTACTGCTAGAGCATTAAGCATCCTTCTGATAACGGTAGTTTTACTTTTTAATTTCAAATAAGTCCCTGGAAGCTCTTCCTTCTGGCTTAATGCAAGCATGTTGGATGAACAGTGCAAAAAAAGAAAGGTCAAGATATTATAGAAATGTTTACATAGAGTGAGATATGAGGGCAAGTCAAACGGCAGTTCACAAGTAATTTAAATATCAAGTTATGATGTTACACACAAGTTTTAAATATTGTTTAAATGATGAACGCTTTAAACAGTAAGGTTATTAGACCGTGGTAAAGTTTGTTTTTGCTAACCAAGCAGAAGAAGGCCTGTTGTCTGAGATGTACTGAAACAAAGGTTTTCATTATTTAAACCAACGTTTTTAGATAAACTCACAACCTTAACACCTACTTTCTCTTTCTGTGGTGTCGCTAGCGGTTCCAGAATTCGTTTTCGACGTACTTGCGGCTGGAAGTAAGCGAAGAGCTGCCAAGCCTGAGCGTCCTGCTGGTCGAGCTCCGAGGAAGGGCGCCGAGCAGCCCGCTGGCCGGCGCCGGCTGGGGAGAGAGGGCCGCTGCGCAGGCGGACAGCGGGGCACCGGGCTCCCTCGCCTACATCCTGCACACATCGGGGACCACAGGACCCCCCAAAACCGTCCGAGTGCCCCACAGCTGCATAGTACCCAACATTTTGCATCTCAGGTGAGCGTGCACAATAGTTAGAACCCAAGCATTTCCTTTCTGCATTCGGTTGCTTGGAAGGACTCCTTAGTTTTTCAGCAGTCCATGGATGTTTTCTTCAGTTCTAGGCTTATGACTGTCCTGTGCCTGTAGAAAACAAAACAATTGATCTTTTTTGCATCATGATGACCTGCTTTATCCCTTTGTAAATTGTAGCTTGTTTGGACTGGGGGCTTGTCCATACAGCTTGTTGGGGTTCACTATACAGTCTGACCCCAGAGGATGCATCCTGATGAGCTGAGCAGTAGAAAGCTACTGTTGGCCCCCTGTTGACATTGCTGGGGTTTCCTGAAATGCTGCCATGGCTGCCCTTCGCAGGTCTCTGTTCCAGATGACGCCAAAGGACGTGGTGTTCGTGGCCTCTCCTTTGACCTTTGACCCCTCAGTGGTGGAGCTGTTCCTTGCTCTGTCCACTGGAGCGTCTCTCCTGATCGTTCCCTCCGTCGTTAAAATGATCCCCAGTAAACTGGCTGAGATTCTCTTCAAGCGTCACCACGTGTCCGTCATGCAGGTAAGCTCTTCGTGCAAGTTTGTGCAGTCGGGCTATTCAGGTTAATACATATTGCTGTTTTGTGAATCGCAGGATACAGTAAGAAAACCATTCACACTCTGTCATGTTTGATTAGCGATTTTATTGGAGACTGTTATTTTCTCTATAATGAATATTTTAAACAATGAACTGTTTAAAGTTATTTTTCCAGGTGAGCTTTAACGTCACAGTTATTAAACTTAATTTTACACGCTTCTGTAAATTAGTCATTGCAGAATTATTAAAACTAAAGCATTTCGTCGGAATGTGTTAAAATCATGCTTGTGAAATCTAAATTTAAATTGATCAGTAGTAAATGTGAAACATTCAGTTTTCCAGATGCATGCAAGCATAACATTCATGGTCTGTTTTTTTTTTTATTCGATTTCCAGTATATCCAGTCTTTTGCACATATGATACAAAAACATTTCACTGTCTTTGAGTAAAGAATTAAAGTGTGTTTAGTCCTTTTTTTGTATCTGGCATGTCTCTGATGTGTTGCTAACAGAAGGTGTACTTCTGCTTCAGTAGACTGTTTTCAAAGTAAAGGCGTAGGTGGGTGGGGGGGGAGACTCAACTGCTCACTACAGCATCTCTGCTCCGAACCATAGAGAGCAGAACAGAATTGCACTCGTTCAGCACTAGGTGGCGCTAAGCTTTCAAGAGTGCTGGCCGTACGTGCACAGAGCATGAGACTTAATATGCATATGGTATTCGGACCACTTTGCTCCACCAGTTAGGAGACCCTGTGTCCAAGGCCACCACTGGCAGGCTTGGTTCCCAGCCAGCAGGCCCAGGCTGTAGGTCTCCTCTGGCTCTTTCGATGAATCAGGACCTGCCTCCAGACCTGCAGGGACTCTTGCACTAGGGCAACGTAGGACAATGTGCAGCACTTTTATAAATATTAGAAATTTAACCAAGTTAGGCAAAACCTGTATCACCATCTTGCTGTAATGCGTTGTACCAGTTCTAGTAGCTGTTTGGTTCAGTTTTACTCAACTGATGGTGTGAAATTTTGTAATCCAAGTAGGATTCAGGAAAACTATTGAAAAGGATAAATCACAACATGTTAAGTTCCGGTTTACAAAAGCACTTTACAGAGAGCATGTTTTTTCATTGAAAATTATTTTTTTGTACAGCAGAGCAGAAGTCGAATCCAGCAGTTCAGGGTTCTTTCCATGAGGTAGCAGTTCTGGATTTCATATAACCTTGAAAATGATTGGATCTTCATTCACTTCTTGCCTTGGGAAGGCTTTCTTTAGCATGCTCTGTTTTTCTCGGTCCAATCCAAGTGATTTGCATTTGCCTAGGGAGAAATATTCACGCTTTGTTGCAAATGTGACCCAGTTGTTGAACATTTGTTTCGGTGTCGTGAGTAGAGTCCCTGCCGTGTAGCTGTTGTGAGCAGGCTGACCTTTCCTCTCCCAGCCCGGAGAATGCGAGGGCGCTCTGTGGGCTTGCAGTGCTAATGGAATTATCCTCTCCCTGTGTCGTCTGCCTAGGCCACTCCAACACTGATCAAAATGTTTGGCACCAGCCTGCTCCAAACTACAGTGCTGTCGGCCGCCACCTCCTTACGCGTTCTGGCACTTGGCGGGGAAGCTTTTCCTTGCCTGTCTGTCCTCAGGAGCTGGAAGGAGGAAGGGAACCAAACCCAGGTCTTTAATCTCTATGGCATCACTGAGGTGTCCTGCTGGGCAACCTGCTACCAGATTCCAGAAGGAGCTGTCGGGAGCAGCTCTGCGTAAGTGCGGTTTCATTTTCCCTGGCCCGTGTTGCAGAGGGAATATGTGGAAGGGATGAGCAGCCCCGTGCAGCAGCCTTGCCGACCCCACTAATGCAGATCTGTTTCACTCCCATGACAGTGAGTTTTCCGAGCTGGGATGTGTGGCGCTCGTGAATTAAAAGAAATAGCAGTGGTGACTATTGCACCTAGCCAGCAGTCAAGTCGCCCTGCAGCTCCCAGCTGGCAGCCCACTGCAGCCAAGCAGGTGTGAGCCTGGCCTGTACCTGGATGGGAGACCCACTGGGAAGCTATGGTGGCTGCTGGAAGAGGTGTTAGTGGGACCAGCGGGGGAGGCTCACCCTGCGGTCTGTGTGGGTCCTGATGCCCCGGTATAGTGGCGGGGACACTATACTGTAGTGGGCGCCCTCTTTCGGATGAGACGTTAAACCGAGGTCCTGACTCTCAGTGGTCATTAAAGATCCCCCCTAAGCAATTCTCGATAAGAGTAGGGAGTTATCCCAGTGAATGTATTATCCCCGTGTATGATGGGCCTGCACTTGCCCTGCGATGGACTGGCGCCCAGTCCAGGGTGTACCCTGCCAGTTTGGCAAAGGACATGTCTATTGCACCTTGCATTGCTGTGTAAAGAAAGGAACGAGGAGAAGGTTCGCCATTTACCATTAATACTTTACAGTCCCAGTTGACGTCCTTTAAACATCTCGTACAGTTAGTGATGTGCTTGGAGAAGCCCAAGTAGAAGTAGTTTATTTTTCCCGAGTTGTGACTTTTCTCTGTGGTCTTTTTGCCTTTGTCAAGGGATACTGACTCCGTGCCTTTGGGAACTCCGTTGCTTGGAACCACAGTGGAAGTCAGGGATGAGCGTGGCAGCGTGATCACCCACGGAGAGGGGCAGGTATTCTTAGGTACTTGAGCAAGATGCTATATCACTAAGATTCACTTGCAGCCAAGGCCCAGGTGTCACGCATTTGAGCCAACTAAGGATTCGCTGAGCAGTGGCTCCCAGTTTGCAGTGTTTGGGACTGGTCAGGCACGGGCCATCTTGGCGAACAGGTGACCCCTGTCCTGGGACTTCCTGTCCTGCAGGCATGTGATGCGTCGGCGACAGACGTGCCTCTCCTCCAGCTGGCACCAACGCTCCTGCAGTGCATTGTGGGATCTGCAGTGTCTTCAAAGAAAAGGAAAAAAAAAAAACAGGAATAAGAAACAATCGGCGAATCAAAGATTGGGTGGGAATAAAATGAAAAATGTGGACCTTTTTATCTTTAAAAAGAAAAAAAAAAAGATGTTTTTCCAACATTGCTTTCGAAGCTGACGTCCGCAGTGTGGTTTGTAAGGAAGCCGCCGCTGGAGACAGCTGTGTGACTGTGGGGTTTGTGCGGTTTGTGCAGGAGGCGGCGGGAGGGTGTGTTCCCTCGGGGACGAAGCCGAGGCCGCGGCCCCGGGCGCGATGCGCGGGACGGGGGACTGGGTGGAGCTGCGGGGAGGTCACATGTACTACCTGGGCCGCAGGGACCGGCTGCTCAAACGCCACGGCAAGAGACTGAGCCTGGAGGCGCTGCAGGAGGTGAGGGCCCGTCCGCACAGCTGCTCGCCCGCAGGGGGCCGGGGG